CTCTGAAAAGTGTACCATGCAATGAAACAATGGAGGCCACTGATAGTCTAACTACTGCGAAGCCTAATTACTCATCAAAATACGGTCTTTAAGGAAAGCGTGTGCTCCCTTCTGCTATAGGACTCGGAGTGTTTATTTTCCACATGGTAGTGGGAGCCCAGGATTACTCTCTCTGTCCCTGGAATCACGTGGGGTTTATGATCAGGCTCTCATGTGCTTGAGGATTAGAAAAATAAACAAAGTTGTCTTGGGGACATACATCAAGGTGTCAATCCAAGTTTCTACTGGTTTATGTAATAAAACCATAAGGAGATGATAGGACAATAGCAATATGTCAAAATATTTCAACACTTACACGTTTTTTAAAAACAAGTGATGGTAGGGAACCAGCAGTTAGTGTAATGGCTATGTCGCTGGACTCCCACGTAGTCGACTGTGGTTCGCGTCCCGAACCCGGTGGCTTAAAACTCACGCCGGGCGCGTGTGCGTGCGTGCCCAAGATCCCGAGAGGAGAATGGGGGAGAAGGGATTGCAGCGTGACCATCCCCCCTGGGGGGTGATTTCTCGCTTTCTGTCTCTATGTCTCTCTCTGTCTGTCTGGCAAGCGCACGTGCCCTATAGTGAAAATCTGTGCCAAAAAAAACAACAAAAAAAAAACCCAAAAAAACAAACAAGTGGTGGTAGTGCACCTAGAATGGCAAAGATGAGATCAGGGCTATAGCAGAACCAATCCAATCTCATGAATATTTATGTCAAATAATATGATTGAAACACCTTCTTTCCACTTCTCAGATGTAAGCCTTTGTTTCTGGTGATATCAGCCCCAGGAAGCATATACATTTTCATAGTGTATCCTACTCTGGAGGGCTCCTTTACAGTACATTTCGAGGCTGTTTCCTGGGTGGTTGCTATCTTGCTTGATTTTATGCTTACACCGCACATTACTATGGTGATATACACCACACTTTGTACTGGTCTGAGAAGCAGATAAACACCTGGGGTCTCCTGTAGACTGAGTTCGGAGAACCCAAATGTCCTGGGAGGTTTCTTCAAACTAAAAGTGTTTCAGGTCCCTTGCCCATTTAAAAAAATGGGTTTATTATTATTATTATTATTTCATATTGAGCTGTTTGAGCTCCTCATCTTTTTTGGATATTAACCACTTATCCCATGTACAGTTTGCAAATATCTTCTCCCAGTTTGTAGGTTGTCACTGCATAGTGTTGTTTGTTTCCTTTGCTTTGAAGAAGATTTTTAGTTTTACATTTGTTACCTGTACTTTTGGGTCAAATCTGAAAAATAATTGATGAGTTCAGTGTTTTCTCCTTATGATTTCTTCTAGTAGCTTTAGAATTTCTGATCTTATATTTTGATCATATTGAGTTGATTTTTGTATGAGTCATGATCCAATATAAGCATTCAATTTCATTTGTGTGTGGAAATCGAGTTTTCTCAACACCATTTATTGGAGAGCCTATGCTTTTCCCATCGCATATCCTTGGCATCTTTATAAAAAAAAATCAGTCTATTGTGCATGTGTGAACTTATTTCTTCTCAAAAAAAGACATATAAATGGCCAACAGGGCGCCAGCAGGTGGAGTGGTGGTTAATGGTACTGGACTCCCACATGGCTGACAGTGGTTCAAGTCCCGGACCTGGCAACTTTCTCACTTTCTCTCTCTCTCTCTCAATCTCTCTCTCTCTCTCTCTATGTCCCTCTCTGGTCTTATGAAAAAGAAATAAATAAATCAAGTTAAATAAAATAATTCTTTAAAAAGATGGCCTTAACATATATAAAAAAAGACTTAACATCATTAATCATTAGGGAAATGTAAATTAAAAACACAATTAGGCATTATCTTACACCTGTCAGAGTAGCTATTACCAAAGGATGAAAAATATCAAAAGTTGGCAAGAATGTGGAGAAAGGGAATCTTGAACACTGTTGGTGGGAATGTAAATCAGTACAGTAAATTACGGAAACAATGCAGTGGTTCCTTGAAAGACTACAAGTAGAATTATCATATAATCCAACCATCCCACTTCTGGGTATTTATTCATAAAATTTGAAACCAGTTTGTCAAAGATGTCTACAGTCCATGTTCACAGCAGCACTATCAACAATAGCCAAGTTATGGAATCAGCCTGCATTCATCAACAGATGGATGGATGAAGAAAAGGCGGTATAGCAGTACAGTAAAATACTATCCGGTTTTTAATAAGAGGGACCTTTCTGTCACTTACAACAATGTGGATGGAATTGGAGAATATTATACTAAGTGAAATGTCAGGTATAAAGGACTAATCCCACATATTCTCACTTACATGTGGAATCCAAAACAACCAAACTCATAAAGACAGAGTAGAATGGTGGTTACAGAGACTGGGAATGGGGGAATGGGAAGATAATAGTCGAAGGGTACAAAATATTTGATATGGAGGTTTTTTTTTTAATTGTTAAAAGAATAAACTTCAAATGTTCTCATCATAAAAAATATTAAGTATCTGAAGGGACGGTATGTTAACTAGCTTTATTTCATTATTCCACGTTGTATTCATAAATAATAGCATTACTTTGTAATCTATAAATTTATATACTTATAAAGTGTCAATGCCAATAAAAAATGCTTCAGATGAGAAGTTATTTGACTTCCAGGGTTGGCCAACCCCAATGTCATGAGCCAACAGACCAGTCCCACCAATGGCCCAGGCACATCTCTGCTGTGAGTTGACCATGTCTGGCAAGAAACTGCCTCACTAAATGAGTGGCTATCCAGTGGCAAAGGCCAAACCAGCATGTGGAAGCTTTTCCAGCATCAGCTTCATTTTACTTTCCTTCTCCTCTGTTTTGTGTGTGTGTGTGTGTGTGTGTGTGTGTGTGTGTGTGCGTTTAATGCATTTCTGCTTTGTCCATGTAGCCTGAAGTTCATTTTTTTTTCCTAAATTAATTTAGCTGACTCTCTAACCTCAACAACTGACCATCACGTAGCAGTGCCTGGGGTTGACTTTTCTGAGTGCTCTTTTTTGAGGATGGCCCATACACATGGCCCTGGAAGAGTGACATGGCACTCAGGGTACTTCTCCATACTTCCATGCTTAAATCCCTGTCCCACCCATAAAGTGACAAGCATCATGCTCCACTCTGCATGGCTAGGGAAGAGAAACATGGTCAAGCCAGCCAAGTACCCATGGGGGCCAGCAGATGGCATAGTGGTTATGTTGCTGAACTCCCATATGGCCAACCAGGGATCAGGTCCTGGACCCAGTGGCTTGAAACCCACACTGTGTGGTGTGTGTGTGTGTGTGTGTGTGTGTGTGTGACTAAGATCCCAGGAGGAAATGGAGGAGAGGGGTTTACAGTATGGCCATCTCCCCTGGGATGTGATTTTTTACTTTCCCTCTCACTGTTTCTGTTTCTTTCTGGAGAGTGCACACGCCCTAAGGCAAAAACCTGTGGGGGGAATGCACACAGTCCCCCTTCTCCCCTCTCTGCCCTCCCACTGTGTGTCCCCTCATGGTAAATGTGACCAGCACCCAGGCCTGCTGGACTCCTCAGGATGGAGGCAACCAGGCCTCAGGACCTGACAACTGCTCAGGGACGCGTGCTTATTACCACGGCTTCCGGAAGCCTCGGAACTTGGGAAATGGCAATATGGTATTTAGTTTAGCCAATGTCCCTTCTGAATCATTAATATTTCAGTTCAAATGCTTTCTCTATTTTTTTCTTTTTACATAGAAACTAATGTCTTTTTTACTTTCATTAGCATGACAAAATCCTGGCTTTTTTTTTTTTTTGCTTTCTTTCAGCTTCCCCAGTTGGTCATTTTTAATTCATATGAAAAGAGAAAAGAATGTCACTGCTAAATAAGATTTCAGCTGGCCTAATCAGATGTCTTGGGAACTAAGAAGCACCGTAAAAATAAAAACTAGATTGTATTTAGAAAAGGATGCCTGCAGGACTGAGCAGAGCCACAAAAGAGGAAACAAAGCTGTGCTTTAAATCCTGGATCAGCAACCAACTGTGCGAGTACATTTTTTAGGCTCTCTGGACACTGGCCTCGTTTGTATAATGAAGAGAAGGGAAA